ATTTCATTTTGTCACTAGAATATCAAACAGTGGTTTTCTAAGCATGATATACCAATGTTATTTAAATGAAAGACCAAATCATTTCGGAAATCCTAGGAATTACGTACTAGATATTGCACAAGATGTCGTTCTCCTTCTTGATTCCACGTGTAGTGATTATGCTGTAATAGGATGTTCATGGTGTTAGAAATTCAAATGTTTTTAGCGTTCCTGGGAGAAATTCTTTCATCATCGATGTTCAGGAAGTAAATAATCAAAATGTCCATAGGATTCAAAAGAGTATGTTCAATGTGTTCACAGTGAAAATACACTTACAGAATACGAAAGATTTTAAAATACCCAAAAATAATAGAACGTAAGAGGTATATTAAGTTGAAGAACCAGTTCTTCAATTGTTTATGTTGTATTTCACGAAAAGAATATTGCGATATTTCGGTGATATTTTACGAAAAATATTGCGTGCCCATATTTGCGTAACTTAAACATGATCATTTTCATTAATTTTGGCTTAATTGAACAATTTGTATTAAACGGTTTATTATTTCCTCGTATTTGCTTTTTTCCCTTCGTGGTTTAATATATATTAATAATAAAAAAAAAATTGCGTGCCCATATTTGCGTGCTCGATGATCACGCAAAAGCTTTGCGTAACTTAAACATGATCATTTTCATTAATTTTGGCTAAATTGAACAATTTGTATTAAACGTTTTTGGTTTTTTCCCTTCGTGGTTTTGATGGTTTTCTTCCTTTCATGGTGTGAATCTCCATGTCGGGAAAATGGGTCGATGGTTAATCAATTCTATTACAACATCGTTCGATCGGCACGTTAGTCGGCTCTTCGGAAGCCATGACGATCAATCGGAGTCATTGCATGATCTCTCGATTCGTACACTGGAACCCTACTAAATAACCATCCATATTTATTACCGTGAATTTCAACCTCGACACTGGTAAAGTTAATTAGGAACTGTTGGGGAAGAATCGTTGGCCTTCGTCAGAGTAACAACTTAAAAATAGGTACATCATAATTTTGCAGACACCGACCTTCGAATCATCCTTCCTTTGGATCGCTTTACGCACGTCTAACTTATCTCGAATATCGATCCTAATGATATTCATCCATATATGGGCGGACCTATAATCAAATTATCATTTCCGGCATCCCACTTCTTTCTCAACGTTTGTCTTAATATCGTTTCTCCTTACCTTGAACGATTTTAACTGGACCTTTCGCATTTACAAAGTGCCAGAATTTATTGCTCATTATGAAGGAGCAGCGGTAATCGACTAGGTAATTTGTTTTTATACATGTTATATTTGGATGGCCATTAGTAATTAATTGCAAAGATGATTTTCATCCATGAAGCTTTCAGCGTTCCTCGCCTGATGTGAAATTTAGCAATGATCCTTTTTAACCCTTTTAGTTACTTTAACCCCTTTAGTTTCACTTAAAAATTCCGAATTAATGATTTTATTAATTTGGTACTAAAGATTTCGATTCATAGTACCTACTATGGTACTACCGAGCAGCAAAACTGTAATTAAAAGTTTCTCAGTCGCCAGAAGTCCTGTCTACATAAGCATATTTTTTAAATAAAATTGAATTATTCTTCGAGGGAGATTTGGGAATAAATGATAATATGATTTCAGGCTTAAATGCTTATATCGATAGCTATGATTCCATTTTGGGATTCATTCCAAATAAAGAAGACGAGGTCAGCAACGTGACGTCCAACGACCGTTCATTCATCAGAATGGTAATAATTTTGGCGCTTAAAATTTTATATATGTTAACCAAGAGTTTCCATATTTGGTTCATTGTTCTTGGTTAAGTATTTTGCTCGAGGAAAATTCAGTTGGCCAATAGAAGCGTTGGCGGTGAAAACATTTTGGGCGAAGGCTGTTAAAGAATTTATCGATCCGCCATTCACTTCGACGATGAGGTCGCGATGAAGGTCTCAAGAACTGGAGAGAAGATCTTCACGAATGCCACGATCGTCTTCCGATACTTTCTGGATCTGATAACGTTGACATTCCCGTACCTGATCGCGGATATGTTTAATAAGTTCATTATAACCCTTGACATTGAACCCATTGGTCGATAAAAAAATATTGGTAGACCCTGATATTTCGAATAATGTCGTAGGTGCAAGTAACAATACTCGTGGCACTTATGTATTTTATCAACGTTTTATTAATATGGAAAATATGGGACCCGATCGCGGATATCTTTAATAAGTTCATTATAACCCTTGACACTGAACCTATTGGTCGATAAAAGAATATTGATAGACCCTGATATTTCGAATAATGACGGACTTATGCGGCACTTATGATATATATCAACGTTTTATTAACATCGGAAATATGGGAAGATGAAGAGGAAATTATATTATAAAACAACATTCAGGGGTACGTGGCTACATTTCATTTTGTCACTAGAATATCAAACAGTGGTTTTCTAAGCATGATATACCAATGTTATTTAAATGAAAGACCAAATCATTTCGGAAATCCTAGGAATTACGTACTAGATATTGCACAAGATGTCGTTCTCCTTCTTGATTCCACGTGTAGTGATTATGCTGTAATAGGATGTTCATGGTGTTAGAAATTCAAATGTTTTTAGCGTTCCTGGGAGAAATTCTTTCATCATCGATGTTCAGGAAGTAAATAATCAAAATGTCCATAGGATTCAAAAGAGTATGTTCAATGTGTTCACAGTGAAAATACACATTCGAAATACATGATATATATCAATGCAAAGAAAATATGAATATGTATGTACTTAACTTTCGATGGAGAGTTTCATATTGTGGGTTTTAGTCAAATACAATGTGCATACACTTGTTAAAAAATGTGATGAAATGTGCATACACTTGTTAAAAAATTATAACGTCAAAAATTAAAAATTGTATGTTGAAAGGAAAGGAAAGAGAAGCTGGGAGTTCAAAGAAGTCATTTTGAAGTAATCTACATCCTTAGTATCGGGACCAACATTAGAAAATGAAAAAAAAGAAACGTGAATTCGACCAAAGACATTATTTTTGTCTTAATGTCACCCAGCTTTTGAATATCTTAATTTTAACCCCCTCAGCTTAGAGCCCTTAATAAATCAGTGGAAATCCTTATTTTCCAAACATTTTTACTCCTGAGTCGTTCTCAGGCTCAATAAATCTTATCATCAACGTGTCAGATAGAAATAATCAAATCACAATGTTACTATACAAATTATTTTCCATTAATCCTAGGCTGCCGTGTGTCACGAACGCGTTACAACTACCGACGAATGTTATGAAACACCTGCTTCATCGAAAAGCATAAATATCATTTATGCAATAGTTCAGAACATGTTTCTCATAGGTCTATACTCCTTCGGTTGCCTCTCGCTATCTCCCTTCTCCTAGATCCTGGACCAGTAATCTATCTCTCATGGTCGCGAGTCCGCAGATGCCCCTGGACGTCCCTGACTGCCTATTCGTAAGTTTCCAGAGACAAGGACGTCTTTATCAGACACCTCCTTATTCCAGATTCGAAAACGAGTTCCGGTCCTTTATGCCATTTTGATCCGCGTCCACTAATTGCTTTCTAAAATGAGACGAAGAAATGCCACCGACATAAGTTAGTCGATATGCAAATGATCCGTGTAGACTTTTGTTAACCTGGTATAATTGCACGATGCATGTAAAGTCTGAAGAAACTGGTTAGGAATTACTGAATTATACCCTATTCTACCATCGATTTGTGAGTTTTCAGAAACAAGGACGTCTTTATCAGACACCTCCGTATTCCAGATTCGAAAAAAAGTTTCGTTCCTTTATGCCATTTTGATCCGCGTCCACTAATCGCCTTCTAAAATGGGACTAAAAAATGCCACCGACATAAATTAGTCGAGATGCAAATCCGCGTAGATACTTTCGTTAACCTGATATAATTGCACGTCACGTGTAAAGTCTGAAGAGACTGGTTAGGAATTACTGAATTATTAGTCGAGATGCAAATGATCTACATAGACCCTTTCGTTAACCTGGTATAATTGCACTTCACACGTCAAATTTAAAGAAACTGGTTATGAATTTCTGAATTATACACGATCTAGAAAAATGTTACTAATTTCTGCAAAAATTTATCCTGTTCTACGAGCAATTTCTCGTAATCTGGAAATTGCACATACTGGAAGAAAATGATTTCTTTGAATAATGCTCATTTGGATCAAATAATAGTAGATACTTCAGCATTATAGATTCAAGAACAAGTTTCGTTTTCCCTTTATACTGACCTTTGAATTCTCGTCAATTTATAAGTCTAAATATAAAAATCAGCCGAAATGCAAATACCCCACGTAGTCACTTTCATTAACCTAGGACGGTGACCTGAAACGCGTTAGATCTACAGAAACCGGTCGAAAATTGATAAATACTTGATTAAAACGATGTTACTGAAAAAATTCATGTCTTTACTCAATAACTGTACGGGAGTATACAAATCATTCATTAGCATAATCATTCGGCACAATTAATATCTCCTAGCCTGATGACTCCAGAGGTCTATTGACATTCATCCATAAGTTTCTCTACCTAGGAATGTCTTTGATAGATATTTCTGCAATCTGGATTCCAGAACAAGTTCCGTTCTCTCTTTACATTAACCTTTTGATCCCCGTCCACTAATTGGCATGATAGTTCTACTGACATAAACATATTCAAATTCCAATGCCCAGTATGGATAACTTTATTAATTAAGGAAGCAAATTAATTCCAAGATGGCTTCGCATCTCTGTCGAAACTTATCGAAGAATTCTTGTTTCGTGGACACCTATTATTTTTAAAAACTAAAAAAAAAATTATTTCTTACCCACTGTAAATTTTAACCGATACGAATTCGATCCTTAAGTATAGAACAACTATGTCATGAAGTATTTGAACATGACTATCTGGGAAACCAAATTTATTCCGAGTAAAAATACAACTTGATTCCGAGATTGTTAATGAAAAGACCAAAAATCGGAGTAAAAATATTGAAATTATTTCATCCGAGGGGTTGGAGGATCTTCTTAACCTTTAGAGAAGCCACCTTTTCTGGTATCAATCAATTCCGTGGACCAATGATTACGATAGCCTTCACCAATATCCGCCGTAAAACCCAAGTCCAGATCCGTGACCGTAACCATAAGATGGGTAACCTACGTAATCAAGAAATACTAATTAGTGACGTCAAGATTGGCCCAAGACAGGTAAAATACATATAGCTAATCTGCTTTTAAAACTTTCTCCAATCGAAAATAATTTACGATGACGCGATTGTGACGCATATGAGGTAGTGTTGTTGTTCATTCTAACGAATAAAAAAAAAATAAAGTAGGTGATAATTTTTAGTAAAGGTTAGATAAATTACAATCAAGCAATATCAATCAATCATTACAGCTAAGTTCATTCTGTTAAAGTCTGCAAAGAGGTTCAAGTTCTCTTTAAATTAAGTGCTCGAGATTTTTTATTGATTTCTTGGGTCCACGTCTCTAAGGAAAAAAATGTAATTTCTTTTTTCCACTTCTTCACTTACCGTATCCCCCATGATGTCCAATACTGTATACATAACTAGGGTAACTGTAGCTCGAATAAACAACCGGATAAGAGTATCCGTGTCCATATCCTGTGTATCCTCCAGGACGAGCAGAAGCTACACTCAGGACTGCCGCCAAGAGCAAGATCGAGAACTGTTAAAAAATAATGCAAAACGTTATCTTACTACGAATGTCGTAAGTACTGCTGTATGTGAGATCTAGGACGACTCCATAAACTAATACAAAATATATATGACAAAGTTAATACTCAGGCATTTTTTAAACTTTCATTTGCTATCGCAATATAATCGCTTAAATTTAATAGTAATCATTAAGTACGTGTAACCGAAAAACTATATCAAAAGCATGTGAAAATCCCAGTTTAACCAATATTTGACATGCCATTCTTATAATCATTATTTCTTAGTTTTTCTGAAATGAGTGAGTCAACGAAAAGATCACATTGTTTTGCTTATGTAGTACTTACGATAAGGGTCATTCTATACACATGAAACGTGAAAATATTTATAACATTTTTCTCCAAACTGGATGCATCGAATAATTTGAAATATTAGCACGTGATTATGGAGGCCCCAAGGAAGAATGCGATGCTCGTGAAATTTCATTTTTCACAACAAAAAAAAATGTGATTTTGGTTCTAGTCTAGCGTAAATAGAAAAAAATTTCATTTTGAAAAATGAAATTTTACGAGCATCGGGTTCTTCCTTGGAATCTTTCTAATCACGTGCTGAAGTTTCAAATGATTTGTTGCACCCAGTTTGGAGAAAAAATTTATAAATATTTTCACGTTTCATGTATGTAGGATGACCCTTTAATATCAACTTAACGACGTTACATTGGATAAAGTTGTACACTTACAATTTTGAAGTGAGCCATTCTGTCGCTTCGTTCAATAATCGCCTGCAATTTCCAGTGACTATTTATCCATCTGGCAGTGGTTACTTCAAATGTACATCGTTTTTGCCGGGGAACTTCTTTTATAAGTAAGACCCTCCGAGCCCCACCTACGTTGCAAGTTCGCCTTCGTCCGTACATGTGCATATTTGCGGTAATAACGACGTACATTGTTACCGCTAGTACAGGCTATATGAATACGTGCATTATGGGAGTACGTAATACCGACTTACCTACTTTGGTCTCACGGGCTCCGCCTTTAACGAGACTTGCACATTAGTGCCTTGACATCCAAATTTCTTCCCATCGAAGACAACCGCCAATTAGACCTTTGTTATTACATTAGAGAATTATATGTTGCACCGATAAACTATCATGGCGGCTCGATTAAGTATATTTGCGCAATTATGTCTCCCAGGGATAGGATTAACGATTTGCGAATAATATTCCAGATTTTGGCATTATCTTGTTGGTACTTTAAATATTATAATTTCGTTTTGTAATAATCGTTCCACAAAAGTACAGCTCTATTCTGGGTGTCAAAAGAACAAAAGGCCGAAGTGTTTTGCAAAAGTTCAATGATCGTGAATGCATACTTTTTTGACTTTGATAATAGTCCAAAGTTCGTTATTAAATAGCTGAAATTTGTATAATAACATATTAGCTTTTTGTGACATCGCTTCGATGTAAAAGAACGTAGAATTTATAAACGTTTACGTAATACAATAATGTCGCGCTTCATGGCGCGTTTGACGGATATGCAAATTCTATGGAGGCCATGAAAATTACTAGATCTTACGAACCTTCTAGTATTTACGCATGTAGCATTGTGCGGTAATTGCAGGATACATATAATTATGGGAAAATGTATACTTATGCTTGAAATCAATGTCAAACCTGGTCATGATTTTAATGATTGGAAGATCGAGTATCGTGATCGTCATGCTCATGAGCATCGAACTGGAATGTTTATGTAGAACACTAGCATCGGAACCTTTTACAATAGCTAATGTTACATGTCACGATTTACTTTTGCACGAAATATTGGTGGATGACTTTATTACGGAAAAATACATGTGGGCTAATTTCATGCAAAATGAAGGACATGAATGCCTCCCCTGCAGATACGACATCGCCTGTGCAGGATGGGAAGGCATTGATGTCTCCCGGTATACACGTCTAGTGTGGGGTCCAAACGTTGGATGTGTCTACAAACCCATATCACCGCAACAATTAATAATTCTGAAAACATAGAAACTTTAACGTTGACTAATTACACCAAAATGGCCATGACAATAATAAGGGAAATTAACAAAGAATGGAAAATGTCGCTTGAAAAGCGCTAAATGGCGCAACGTACCAAAAGCTGTCCACGAATTGTAAAGAATTCATATTTGGAAAGGTTCGTCATTACTTACAACATACAGTAACATAATGATGTTCCTCGAGCCATCAATAACTTCTTATTGTTTACGCGCATCGGTAGCCACGCTCGATGGTTTGATTATAGAAACAGAAGTCGTAGATTGAAAGAGATGATGTCCGCGATAAATTCGCATTGTTTGCGGAAGAAAAAAATCTGAAAAAGGAACTCAAGCGAAATGTTTAGTATAGTTCCTGGGGAAAAATTTCTTAAGCAGGGAAATCATTGAAACATGTACGATAACTCAGGATTGTTTTCTTTTTCCACAGATGATAAGATAATGGAAAATTTATGGTGGAATCATAGGAACGTTTCCTAACTTAACATCATTATACATAATGAAATATTAAAAATATACTGTTTATTACTAATGTACATTAGAAACTTCATACATTGAAAAAAAAATCTACTTTTTAAAATTAATCCAGCAGTAATAATATCAATGTAATACTTTTAATGACATCGGTAGTCTTGACGCAATACTGGGTGGATTTGTGCTGATACCAGTCGTGATACCCGCAATATTTTTTGTATGAGTTGTTCATTAACTATTTCATATAACTATCTCTTAGTAAGAGAGTGTTTCTGGAGGAAGCATTCGCAGATGGTAAATATGTGTTCAGAAGAAAACTAGACGGTCCTTTATGCAATAAACATAAATTTCTTAGCAATATGGATTCCTACGGATTAAAAAGTTTCACACTGTGTGACACTAGTTGTGTGGTCACTTGAACACTCCACTTGCGTACGGCTGCCAGTATCTAAAATAATAAGGCGAGAAAAACATGGGAAAGTCACTTTTAGTTGAAGGGTAGAAGAGCTTCGCCTCGTTGATTGTACTTGACGCAGAAATAGGAATCACGTCTTGAGGTTTTTGCAAATCCGTGGTTTTCCCCGTTTCCCCTAATCCAGATATATTTCTAGAAGCGGATGAGTCCTTTTTAAAAAGTCCTTCCTTCGAGTAAGCTGAAGACAATGGCGAAGAGTAGGATGAAAACGCACCACGGTCGGCAGGAAAATTCGGAAACGAAGACTTGGGGAAACTTTTAGTGAAATTCTCGTGGAAGAAGTCCCCAAAGTTTCTAGGAGGGTTGAAATTGTAACTAGGATTGGGGTAATTTCCTTTCTGAAAGGCCTCGAAGTAATGATGAGGTGGGGGGCCTGCGATGGTTATCGAGTGTGACACTTGCGGAAATGACGAGTTACTTTGCGTCATAGTTTTCGTAACAGGGGCTGAACTTCCCGAGGAAGCCGGTTGCTGATAGGGAGTGGGGGAGTGATAAGGAGTGTAATACCGAAATGAAGGTGGTATGAAATAGTTTTGCGGCACCACCGTTATCGGCCTGCTCAATAGACTTTCTCTGAACCTCTCAAAGTCTACATTCGGGAGTTGATTGAACGTCGATGTTGGGTCAATGGATTCCTGATTGTTACTTGTGCTTATCGATGATGATGGATTTGACGAAGTGTCCAACTTCCTCCCCGATTCATCGTTCTTGCTTCCAGAATTCTTTTCGGACTTCATCTCGACGTCAGCATTTGCGTTTGTATTTTCATTGTTATTCAGATTTGGGGGCACAAAAGGAAACGAGTAAGGATAGTAGATTCCAGGAGGCCTGTAGAATTGCAGTTCGTTCAACGCTTGGGACTCGAGATAAGGGTCGTAAATGTTTTTAGCGAATGCCTCGGAATATGCTGGATATCTGTAGTGATAAGATCTCTCGAAATGGAAGGGTCCTAAGATTTTCGTTCCAGTTTTCTCGACGTTATCGGAGCTCTTTTTTAGCGTTCCTTCCCCTGGCGATGACGATGACGATGACGGAGACGGCTCTTCTTGCTTTATCGCTGCTTTGGTGTCAATTGTCTTCCCGTTATCTTGAAGCTTATCCACGAGTTTAGACGACAATATTGAGGCGACTCTTTGGAAAACCTTCCCTGGCGAGTTTGATTCTGAAAAGAACATACAAGAGCGCTTATCAATATTGATATCGATTCAACTCTTTTGGGGTGTTGCGTTACACTCACTGTCGGATGAGTTTTGTGAAAATCCATAATCTGCAGCTGCTAACAATGCGGCACAATAGACCAGTGTCTAGAAACATGTGCACATGCGTTTAAATTCTATTTGCACTATCTTTCCTCGTCATAGTGAGTTAAAGGGGAATAAATAATCCCGAATGGCATGGCTGTTAATTTAGACAAAAATTGCATTTTTTTATGTCAAATCAAACCCTCGATGTATAAGTTTCAATCGAAAAATTTAACAAATACTCATTTTAATTTGTACGATATTATTGTTAAACTTTGCTCTGTTTTACCTTAATCTTGGATTAAAATTCAATATCTTATCATACAAAAGTATTTAGAATTTAAATATTTCGGTTTTTCAACAATCGCGCGTGCCTTTGGTTGTTGATAGTGGAAACTTTATTGATTCTCGACTATTTCTACTGGTAGAAAGTAATGCGTTTATGAATTAAATTGCGTCGTTGCTCTCTCGTATTACGCAAAGTTCCTCCTATGATTGGCGGGTCCTTAAATCTGTCGTTTTATTCATAGTTGCGTAATACTACGTGTATTACCGCCTTAAGCACGCATGCACCTCGGTACGTAAGTACGCAGGTCTGGAAGTCGATGTACCGTTTCGTAAACTGGCGGTAATTGCTAGTTTTTCATCAATACTACCGGAAGATGGAGGGTGGCGGTTCTGCCGGTTATTTATGCATTTTTTTTATTCATTTTCATCATATAACGCACACGTGATTTTATTCCAGAAAATGAGCGTGGCGATCAGTGATTGATATTATGCTCGAAAGATCAAGGCACACTCTGCAGTCATTATAAAGTAGGATAATGAAATTATTACCAATTAACGTAACCTTCGCTTATTCTGGTCCAACATGGTCTCGTCATTTTCTACCGTGGGAAGATGAACATGACGTGACGTGTTTGTTCATTAGTGTCATGGAGGAAGAAATTAAACACCTATCACCTTAATCAACTGAACTGAACAAGTTCACGAGATAATTACTACTGAAGACATCAATCACGCCGTAAGAAATGTCCGTTCTAATGATATCAAGGCACCTCTGATGCGGCAACATTTATGTCGTTACTAATTTCTTCATTTAGGGTTCCAATCACGTAGAGAAAGCACATCTAACGTTTTAACGTTCATTAGTTCAATGAATTAATGTGTAATGTGATATTCAAGTAAACTCTGGTGAATAAGAAGTGCATTTAAGGTTATGTTAATATTTAAGGAGTCAGTAGGTTGTAAAATGCGTTTTAATTGGAATGAGTTTAAAAGGGAATAACAAGGTACAGGAAACATTTGCTTACGGGTCTATTTTATATGACGTTCTCTGGATAATTTAAAATAACAAATTCGGAGAATGTTTAAAAAAAAATGGCGGACTTGCGGACGCTGAAAATGTTCGATCCTTTTTTCGCGGTGACTTTAGGTGAACGGTAAATCTGAAAAGCAAGTTAAGGTTGTAGCGATATTTCTTGTTCAAATATTCCCGCAATCGTATTAATCGACTGATGAGACCTCTAGATAGACCTCAGGGTTTCCCTGTATTTCTCGATGCGACAATTTCGATATGAACGGAGAGCTCATTCGACCGCCAACCTTCGTCGAGGGCGCATCGCGATGGACACGACGCAGTCTATGATAAGTAAAAGTGTTTTTCTTTTTTTTTTAATAAATAAGGAGTTTCACGAGTTTCAGGACCTCCCTTAAGGCCTCCTTATTCACGTGGTAAACTTTCAAACGAATCGTTACACCCTATTTACTGTATTTTAATATGTTAAAACATTTTTTACATTAAATTCTCTATGTAACATCAAATCAAACCGCGGGGAGACACATCAGGAAGACATTACATCTCCTATCGTATCGTAATTGTGAGTCACGATGGTAACGATCGTATTATTACATGGTACTCAATGTTGACTTAGAAATGTGTCGCTGGGTACTTACGTGCAATGCGTAACGCATCGTGCATGCAACTCACGACGACTAAAGGGTTTGCTCCATGCTCGATGTCATTTATACTTTCCCTCGTGATATACGTCATTATGGTCTATTTGGTTTAAGTCGACGTAATAGTGAAAAATCGCACGGCGTGGTACAAGTATTGGTACCGAGGAGGAAACGTGGCAAATTACAGAGGCCCCCCCAGGAATTATGCATTAAAGGTTGGCTCGACGGGTCCAAAATGTGAAAGCATGTGGCATTCGCATAGTTGCAGTGCTCCTACGTCAAGGAATTAAATTTAACGGGGTAATCGCGTGTCGGGTAATGAGATATGAAAAATTAAACCAGGGTCTTGTAGTAAAAGTAATAAGTTCATTTGGGCATAACGGGGTAATCCCGTGTCAGGTAATGAAATATGAATAATTAAAACAGGGTCTTGTAGTAAAAATAATAAGTTCATTTACTGTTTCAGTTAGCAGTATCCGTGGTAGTCGCAATGAGTAGATTATTTAAACAGTGATGACAAAGTCCGTATCACTTGTCAGACATTTCTCAACGTAGGTCTCAATGTCGTAGGTCAGTTTATTCCGATCTAAACTACTGTGTCACGGCTATCAGGAAAGCAGATATTTCGATAACGGATTTCAATTTCCTTTTCACTTGAGGAGTACTCATTAAGCAAGAATCCAATGAATGGGCATTTTCGTGACACCAGAACTCGGTTACGATTGAATAGTCAAGTAATCGATTAGCTTCCCTCGTGGATTATACCCTCTTACCGTGGTATAGGAAATGGTTTCGGGCATTTTTATAAATAAAAAAAAAATTAACAAACGAGCCAACTGAAGGTGCGCCATGGGTGCGAAATGTATGGTGAGACTCTATCCGATATAGTGTTTATATTTACCCTTGAGAAATGACCTATCCTTGATTCCAATCACTTTTTCTTTTTCAATGAAAGCAACTCATGCGAGAACTGAGAAAAGATAGGGGGAAAGGAAAACCTGTCCTGAACTTCTAGTAAGTTCTACTTTGAGCTTGAATTTGTAAACTATTCGTTTCTAATCAAATTACATGGTTTCCTTTCAGACGACAATCATCAAATCTGTTTTTCATTCATCTGTGTTGTAACATTTTCTGCAGAAGCACTAGCCTTTCATTTTGTAAATAGTATCTTTGTATTCACGGGGTTTTTGAAAATTGCATAAATTTCGAACGCTTATTAACTATACATGAATGTTGACGGGGTGAAAATAGGCAATTTCTCTATACCGACGAATAGTTTTGGAAGATTTTTAAAATTAATCTAATTTGTACAAAACTATGTTGATAATATGAATAGATCGAGAATTCCAAATATTTAAAAGGGAGGTTCTTATTTACAAATTCATTAATGTCATGTGTGTATGTTATAACGCAATTGTACTTGCGTTTCCTTAATATGTCGCATGGAATATTATGGATGCATGTGTCTGTTTTACATTTCACTTTATTTCAAAGAGAAGTTGAAAAGTGAAAAAAAAAAAAGAATTACACAAGTTTTCACCCTCATTTGCACTTTGCATTTGGTTATGTCACTGGCATGTAATTCGTATATTTTCCATTTCATTTGAGTAAGATAAGCGATAGAATTTAAAAAAGGTGTAAATCCAACTTGAAATACATTTGCATGCCTAATGTTGACATTTCTTTCGTAAGGTACCACGGAAGCAAGGATTTTGTAAGAAATAACTCGTTTGAAATCTGATCAGGACCCTTTTGCCATATACTTGAAAGTAAGAAAATTCTAAAAGTGTCATGTCCACATCAAGTCTGAATTTATTGAGGTGGGACTGACATTTTTTACTCATGCGTTTTCGAATTTCTCTACGACTACCAATAATGTGTTAAAAAATAATACAGCAGGTATTGTTACAAGGAAGGTCCTGACCCTCATGAAATTTCATATTTTTGTTTTAAATTCACGTACTTGGAGTAATCACATTTTATCTTGGTATTTACGCACAAAATATTTATGTTTTATCCGAGATCAGTTACAACGTAAAGGCTGAGAGAACATTTGTTCATTATGTAATTTCATTCATAAGGTGTACTAGAAATCCAAAATGGGGAATTTGAGACGGAAACTGTTTGAAATAATTAGACGATGAGAGGTAAACTTACGGCGCAATCGATGAAAGATGAGACTTCGGTGATGTTAATATATTCTGGGTAATTATGGCGATGTTAAAATATTCTGGGTAATTATGGCGTCATGTCGGTCAGGAATGCTTCATTTCTTTCTACGCAAGACTGGTTACATAAGAAAACGCTTTTCCTTTTATTACGTTGACATTTATGCCGCTTGTGTACTGTACATCCTCGAAGATCCCGTCATCGATGACGGGGAATACAATTGTTAACACGATTCCATTATCCAATAACAAACATGGATAAAAAGTAGTAGTTTGATGCTTCGCTAACCGAGGCACGCGTATCGACATTGACGACTAACTATCGACAATTTACCGATAATCATCGATCATTAACTGATATCAACAATGGCAAGAGCCCGACAGAAGACCGATAATGCGTTGTAATTATTTTTAAAACCTTTTGTTACTTCATCGATATACAATCAATGCGACTAACATGCGTGAACATAGCGAAGATGGACGAGGCACTATAAACAATCGATGCTACTAATCATCACAAATGTACCCGAACAATTTTTGTAGACATACCTAATAGTAAAGATCCTTAGACCATTTCGTCTGATTACTTATAACAAATTCAAGATATATGCATTTCTCTTTATGTTATCGCAGTACTTAGGTTTGAATTTTCTCCCCCATATTAACATTTGAAGCACTATTTATACCCCGTAGGCCATGACCTACGGTAAGAAACCTCTTCCTTAAACAGACGATAGCTTATCGATAGTCAGTCATCGGTAGTTGGCATTAGAATAGTTGTTGGCATTAGAAATAAATACTGAGGTTGGCTTAATCTCTAACTTATTTGTAACCAATTTGACTGATTGTTCCGACAACACCAGGGGCCACGACCCCTGGTAAATTGTAAATTTGTACTGGACCCCGAGATCGTGCTTCTACACCTGCAGCTCTCAAATTTGGCGTTATCACAACTCGAGTTCCTGTTGCCGTCACACCTGGATATAGTTGCACCCCCGCGGGTTTTTCAAATCCATACACCATGCCGGATACACTTCCATAGGGTATACCACCTGTTTGACAGGAAAAATACATATCACCGTTAATTAGTAATTGTTGTTCAGCAGGTATGAAAAGTAGTTCATTATATTGCGTAATTAAATGTCCTTTGGGGACGTTAGGGGGAAACCTGTACTATTTGCTCTGGAGAAGGGTAGGTTGAAACGGTGTACTTTTAGTGGGGTGATTCATAATGTTCTGTTAATTGCAAATATCGGACTATTCAAGGTAATTAAAAATTTAGGTCTTTTGTCGGGTAATAGTGACCATGGAAATATTTGCTCTTAGCCGAGTCCGGGTTTGCCATTAAAAACAGGAGACCTTTCACGCCTACTTCATATTGAGACTTCTAATTAATCTTTTTGTTATAGAGATATGATACGTGATAACGTTCCAAGTTTCTCCTGAATTGATTAGCTTCAAAGTCAAGTAGCCGCTCGGTACTGATATTGCTTAATCGAAATTAAAAATAGTATAATAATATCAAAGTGTAATTAATTATAATTAAAAATAATAGGTCGGTGCATAGTTAATGTTACACTGCAAGGTACATAAGAAATAGTGACGTACGAGTAAAGTATAACATTAATTATGCGTCAACTCAATAATAATCCTCATTTGTCAGCTAAAAGGAAAAATAATTGCATTTATTGTATAACTTGAAGTATTCATAAGTAACTCTTTGGACACATTGAAGTTAGTAAACATTATAGTTATTAATTACCCATTACTTTCGTGAAAAATAAACAACGAAAAATCCATAAACTTTCACGAACATGTAATCACTAGTTATGAATTTAACATTTCCAGTCCATACTTGCTGACAAAAAAAAAAATCTTTAAAGGCAATGTTGAACCGCCAGTTGCCTAACATTAACATAACTTTATTTCAGTCCCCTGCCTTTCGCTACAGTGTGATAAATATTTGCTACAGAATCTTAATTCGGGTCGTCGATTGGGGTACGGGACAAAAGTGAAAGGTAGATTAAACTCGTGTTGATAATGAAGTATGTAGGTGTCGAGCTCTGTAGGAGAACGACGAAAGGTTGATCGAACTTTTCAGTAAGGTAAAACACTTCATTTTCTACGGCCAATCACTATCAATGTTATCTACGAGTTTCCATGAAATTATTTTTAATTCTATCGTGCCCGAAATTTGAAATTAAAATTCAGGTAAACATTCATCTTGGAAAGTTTATCATTCTACAGCAATTATTATATCTGGAAGAATCGAAAGTTAAGAGCGAGGTGCTGCCCTCTGGGTAACAATACAAGTATATACCAGTACAACTATAACAGTACAAGTACCCATCTCAGTTCCTAAATTTAATGAATTTAATGAGTGATGAATTGAATGAGAGAAATACTAAATCAACGTTTATTTAAATACGCTGGCTCCGAAATTTAAAATTCAGAAGTGGATTTTAAGGTATTAATGAATTTCGTATTTGTTGATAAGATGACTTACCGTATGCAAGACCATTTCTCATTTCCACAATGCCCGCGCTATCTGGCATTGCAGATGCATGTCCGAGGACGAAAATCAGTCCAATGAGAACAGTGATCTGTGAAAATTAATGATTTTCTTAATTACCTAAGATACTGCGAAAGAAAGTTACTGACAGGTCACGCGAGACTAAGGAGCTTCTGGCGTGGCATTGCATTACACGTAATCCTTTAATTAGTTCTTTTAAAACCAAGAAAAAATTATGAGGCTATTTAACTTTACACATCTTGATCATGTATAATAGAATAAAAGTGGCACATGTATAAGATACAAAATATCAATATTTATCTCATTATTTAAATGACGTCGTATGTTACGTCGTACTTATTTGTAATCGCGATTACTGGATCATTACATCACAATCAAATGAAATGAAATTTAAAAACCTCGGTTTTCTTCGCACGGTTTCAATCCCCTTTTTATTATTAGTTATCAGAAACTTTGTCTTTCATTTATTTAAATGCACTTTTATTTCCCTTATTCCTTGAATTAGAGAAATGTGCAGGTTAAGTTTTACTGATTTTCACGGATTAATTGCTAAATGTAATGAAAATGTTTTGATTTAGAAAAAAGCAAATTTCTAAGCTCGAAATTGTCTGTGGTTGAATTGTAGAGAAATCTGTTTAAACAAATTGCCTTGTTTAATTTCTAAGTTTAACCCGATCTTTATCGGAATATAAAGATTTCAATAACTTTTTGCTCCACGGGTCCTGAGGTAAATTAAGAAAGTTATTAAAAATCGTATTCACACATAACGCGCACATAGCCACGTGGTTATATATTATTTGGCAACTGTTAAAGCACCCTAGTTATTCAAGCCAGGTGAAATTTGAACACATTCCTCGAAAATTTGTTCTCGGTGAAGACGCAATATCGGTAGCTTACCTTTGCGGTGATCATGTCGAATTACCGGGCACGGAAAGACTACAGGTAAAACCAGTGCACGCTGTGTCAAAGATTGAATTATATACGCGGTGTAGCATTACCCTTAGCCAATCAAAATCCAGTGTTTCCTTTCAAGACCAAACGCTATTTACCGAGGTTACGAGCTTATCCGAGTTACACACAGGTATCTCCTGGAGACACCTCAACCTTGGAATAGGTGGAGGCACCTCTCACATCGAGTCTCGCATTGAGTCTGTCGGCTTCGACCAAGGCTTTCCTCGATTGTGTTTTACCGACTCTTCATTGTGTTCTCTTTGACCATATCCAAGCAATCACTTCTATACGACTTTTGAGTTGATGTCATGCAGCGCCTTGGGATTTAGCGATGATGAGGTCGATTAATCGCTAAAGTGGAACGCTTTGTTGCTAGGTCCTGATGTGCAGCATCTCTGTGGATGATCAAGTGTGGATCTTGTTGAATATCACTGGAGACAATGAGGTCGATTGATCGCTAAAGTGGAACGCTTTGTTGCTAGGTCCTGATGTGCAGCATCTCTGTGGATGATAAAGTGTGGACTTTGTTGAATATCATTAGAGACAATGACGTCGATTGATAGCTAAAATGGAACGCTTTGTTGCTAGGTCCTGATGTGCAGCATCTCTGTGGATGATAAAGTGTGGATTTTGTTGAATATCATTGGAGAAAATGAGGTCGATTAATCGCTAAAATGGGACGATTTGTTGCTAGGTCCTTATGTGCAGCATCTCTGTGGATGATAAAGTGTGGATTTTGTTGAATACCATTGGAGACAATGATGAGGTTGATTAATCGCTAAAATGGAACGCTTTGTTGCTGGGTCCTGATGTGCAGCATCTCTGGATTTTGTTGAATATCATTGGAGGCAAATGTGTGACTTATTACCTCTTGGATGTACTCATCAAACAATTGAGTTTATCACTTTAGTAACACCAGCCGTTCATTAAATGATATGTAAAGTACTCGAACAGAAACGCAATGTCCATCTGAGATTTAGTATAATATGTAACAGTACGCCTACTCATATCGTGTTTCATGACTCGTCCCTACCCTTTTTATAATTTTCTCCACGTTTTGCATACCCGTCTCCCACATTTATTAGGGTCAATATGAATATTTCATTAAGTCGACAGTGATACGCCATTATTCATAGCAACAGTCAGAACAATAGGTATACACTATGTTACGTATGTAAGTCCTTAAGGCTTATAAGAATTGATTACGACTAAGAAAAGCCATTTAAACGATGATGATTTTTTCAATTAGCACCTCATATTTTTATCCTATCTATTTGGCAATAAATCCTGAGGAAATAAGGCTGCATAAACGTAGTTAGTCGGAAACGTACATAATGGTACCTTGCTTGAATAACTGAATGAGGATATTGTTACATTCTCTGCTACCTATATTATCAAGTTTCAGGTTTAGTTCGCATTATTGCCTCACGGTTATGGCCTCTTTTAAATTAATAAAAATGTGCAACTTTCAAGATCTCTAAAGAGATTGGGTTGCTTGCTGCATTAGGTCAGTAAAAAGATTTATAAGTTTAATTACAGTCATTCGGTAACGGCGAAAGCGTAAGTCATCGCGATTGTGCTTTATGTTGAGATAAAGGAAAGTAATTGAATATTGAAAAAATCATTCATGAGTTAAGATAATATGCCGAAGAATGGACAATACAAATTTCAACGTTCAACAAGAATATGACTTTAATGCTTAATTATATATTGTTTAAATAACATATTATTATATCTTTCTTTCCTCAATCGCAACTGATATCATTGTGTAATTCTCGACATGAGCATTCATTATTAGTTACCATCTCTATAATTAACCATTACGTTAGTGGACTTACATGCCATGTAATTATTGCGAAGGGAAAAAGGCATTAATTCAAATTCAGAGTTTTACAATAAGTTTCATGTGCTACTTGTTATATGGAATGTAACGGTTTACTCGTTCTTGCTACATCTGCTTTAAAAAAGTGTCGGAAAAACCTGAAACATCACAATTTCTAAAATAAACGAGCTTCTTATCGTATGGCTTACTGCGAATTAAAGGTTAAACTATACAGCTTGTGCATCTTAAATTTGAAGTCATTTTTTAAGGAGCGCTCTAAAAGAGAAACCTGAAACTCTCATCGGAATATTTAAAATATTAACGACCTTGCAATAAGCAAATTAAACTTGTTTCATTTTCAAGGAGCTAGATTTTGAAATTTTCAGACGGCTAAATTATTGAAATACAGGAAACAGTGAAATCGCCAGACATTTATTCTTGACCCTGTTCTCTCCGTATGCACTCTGTCCTTTCAACAGCTTCCTGTTGCCGTAAGAAAAATATTAATTCCTTTTTACACGTTTCTAGAACTGTATACATTATCACAGCTAACAAGTAATGTTATTTTCAAGGGATCGCCGCCGATTTTGTTCACTCTAATATATGTAATAGAATAAAAAAAGGGACATGTGTTTTTTATAGCAGCTCCAAATTGACTTTGAGGGAGGGAAATCATCCCCCAAAATATCCCAAAAAATTTTATTTGGTGTTTCAAGTGCTTCTCTTTGATCGATTCGAACGAAACTTTGTAAATAATTATCAGTAAGGCTGGATGATCCCCTAAAGGAGAAAATTTACTTAATGTAATTCTGAAAATTAATGACAAAAATTACTAACATTTTTATCACTTGATTGGAAATTTATTTTCACGTAGTGGTCCGGTTAGTAAATCATGGTTCGCTTGTATAACCCTTAGTGGTTAAATAGCCTCTTATAAGTGAACAATTAAATAAGTATGTAATGGATTAAAAATTGATTTGAGAAACATTTTCCTTTAAATGTTTAAACCGTTTTCTACGACCTTCTTGGAATGATTCCTTCAACTTTTTGTAACCATTGCTCGAGGCATTATCTGTAGCAGTGATTATACTGATATGTATACTCAAGGCATTTCGACACAATTCAATCAAACTTGAGATGATTATAATCGAATGCCTAGAATTAGGTTCAAGGGTATCTACTCGTCCTGCCGTTGACTTTATGAAACAATTTAAAACTATTCGACTGTATCGAATGTACCAATGTACCTTAATACTTGAGTACCGGAACGAATTTTGAAAGAAATTGATCGATTATTGCCCTCTTCTGATCGACTTTCTCCGGAAAGTTGACTGAACGGTCAATCAAATCCTGAGACTCTTTGTCAGGTCGATGTTGTAATTTTTCTCGTAATTGTCGGCAGAATAAATACCAGGGAACTATTTACCACCGACTATGGAGAAATCAGTGATTATTTATAATTTTCTCAGGAACGACTGTCGCAATTGATCTTTTGAAACACTAAAATAGGAGTTGAAGTCTTAGACGAATATTCACCGTGCATATCAAATAAGACCATTCTTGTAATTAACAATAGTGGATACATATGTTTATTCTTGTATATCATAACAACAACTTATGTAGACTATATACAATAATATAATTACAGATTAGAGCTGTCCTTCGCGTAGTTTTCCCGCGTCCTTCTGCTCTGATGGTTAAATCTTTTATGTTGTCTTTGACACTGTAAATATCAGGACAAGATCGCCATAAATGCGCCTTCGACGGAAAGTTCGCTGCAAAATGATATTGTCTTTGCTCTTGATTAGTGTAAATGCAGAAAAACTCCTTACCCTAGCAGCCATACTAAGAGAGAATTACGAATACAACATTAGTAACAAAATTAGTTACCGTGATGTGAAATCGCGCTTTCATGACAACAATAATGCTATTCATACGTGCTTCATGAAGGGTATACATTTCTGTTAACAATTTTGATAAAAAAAAAATGTACACTTATCTCAATTGGTTCACTTAATTTTGTACTTGGAGCACAAACCACCTAAAAGTGTGTAACAATTTCTTAAAACAATTTAACCCGTCAACAGTTGAAATAACCACTCTTGAATGTAACCCACTATTAATAAAAACATCATAGTGGTTCCACCTAACGATATTTTATAAAGAATCAACAACAGTGTATAATTTGAGCCTCGACTGGATCGCACGTAACAATTTTCTGAAATTCCATCTACTTCATTTAATTAGGGCATTCGAGAATAAGAATATTTAATGGCATTCTTAATTCCAAAATTACGTACAATTGCTAACTTAATCTTGTATGAATTAAAAAATATTACTCCACGTAGTAATACAGCCTTTGGCTAGGATCTTTCGTGAATTTCACGTGTTTATCAGTCGTTTTTGGGTATATGTCCTCATTTCCCTCAGTCTGGGTGTTAGGGTCTGTTTCGTTCCACCGGCCATCCTTTATTTCCAGGGATCTCTGCATACTGTTTTCTTCTTTACTGTCCTCTTCGATTTCTTCCTTATCGGACCCACTGGCGATACTCGTTGATCGGGTTGTCGCAGCGATGTTCTGAAAGATCATTTTGAGAAGTGATCTCGTATATCCACAGATGGTCCAGCTGGCGAGAGCGTGCTCCGCGATCAGCGTTTTTCCTCCTGAGTGGCAAAATGCGAACAAGATATCAGAAATATCTTCATTGGTCTACTAATTTTGGTCGCAAATTTAGATCTAGATGCTACATAATGATCCAGGCTGGATAGACCGTGATTCGCGATCAGCGTTTTTCCTCCTGAGTGGCAAAATGCGAACAAGATAACAGAAATATCTTCATTGGTCTACTCATTTTGGTCGGAAATTTAAATCTAGATGCTACATGGTCCAAACTGGCTAAACCGTGCTTTGCAATTAGCGTTTTTCCTCCTAAGTGGGAAAATGCGAACAAGATATCAGAAATATCTTCATTGGTCTACTCATTTTGGTCGGAAATTTAGAACAAGATGCTGAATATCTTTATCAGTCTACTCTTTTGGTCGCAAATTTAAATCTAGATGCTACATGGTCCAAGCTGGCTAAACCGTGATTCGCGATCAGCGTTTTTCCTCCTAAGTGGCAAAATGGGAACAAGATATCAGAAATATCTTTATCGGTCTACTCA